TGATAAATATTGACTTTTCCATGTAGCCAATTTTTTCTCACATCTTTCAAGCACCCCATTCCACATCTCTTGTGACTTGTTCCTTGATCCCAAAGGCATCAACTCACTTCACATCCTAAAGTACCTGCCAGAGAGTGAATGTGTAGGACTTCATTTACTGGAAACAACAAACTTTTTATCCAATTCACATGAAGGCCTGAGACAACCTCAAAAATAGTGAGGATTAATCTGAGATGTCTCCACTTTGGCATCACAGAAAATTAATGAATGTGTAACCTCCATGGTACTTGTTGCATTATTAAGCACCTTGAAACCCCTAAGCCATCCATTCTGATTTGCCACTTTAATCATGTTGTTAAGACCTTCCATTGCAATGATAAATAGAAAAGGAGATAGTGGCTCTCCCTGTCTCAATCCCCTATGAGATGGAAAGAAACCTTCCTGAGAGCCATTGATCAAAACAGAAAATCTGACATTGCTTATACAAAAGAAAATACATCTAATCCATTTGTTTCCAAACCCCATATCTCTTAGCACCTTGAATAGAAATCTCCAATTAACATGGTCGTAAGCTTTTCCAATGTCCAGCTTATACAATATCATTGGCAGCTTCCCTTTTATTCTAGAGTCCACACTTTCATTAGCTATCAAGGATGCATCCATTATTTGTCTTCCTTTAGTGAAAGTCATTTGTTGTTGATCAACCAATTTGTGTATCACCTTCTATATCCTCTATCAGAACTTTGGATATGATTTTATAAACACTACCAATCAAGGTTATTGGTCTGAAGTCTCTCAATTCCATGGACCCAATCATTTTAGGAGTTAAAGCAACATAGGTTGCATTAAAACTCTTACCAAAATATTCATGAGAATAGAAATTCTTCAATGTTTCCAAAATATCCTCCTTAACAATATCCCAACAGGTGTGAAAGAAGCCCATTGTTTACCCACCTGGCCTCGGAGCTTTGTCTGATGCACATGCTTTAACACCTTCCAGAACTTCTTGCTCATCAAAAGATCTCTGTAGCCAAAGCTTCTCCTCTTCACTAAGTTTAGCACAATCCCTGAAAGTAAATTCAGATCTCCATTCCTCAGCTTCACTATATAACCTCTGGTAAAAGTCCAGGATTTCCCTTTTGATCATTACTGGACCCTCCACTGTTGTTCCATCGATATTCAGCTTGCCAATTTTATTATTTCTCCTGTGAGCATTAGCAAATCCTTTGGAAGAACTTCATATTTTTGTCCCCCTGTTTGAGCCATTGAACTCTTGATCTCTGCCTCCAAGCAATTTCCTCATTTTTTACAATCTGCTCAAACTCCATGGTTAGGCCTGCCTTTAATAATAACTCCTCGTTCAGCAATCTCTGTTTCTGGATAGCATCCAATTCAGTCAAATTATTCAAAATTTCAGTCTTCTTTATCCCCAAATTCCTATTGTTTGGCTTGCTCCATTCCTTCCGTTTTCCTTTCAGCATCTTCAACTTGCATGCAAGATTATAATCTGGCCTACCCTGTACTTCAAAAATAGACCACTACTCTTTCACCTTGTCACAAAACCCCTCAGTTCCTATCCATCAATTCTCGAACTAGAAGTATGACCTAGAGTTTTCCCAGTCCCCACATTATAGAGATATGGGAGTATGTTCAGAGATTACTTTTGGAAGAACTGATTGATTTATATTCCTGAACTCTCCGTCCCATTCTGTAGAGAACAAAAATCTGTTCAACCTTGAAGAGACTTCCAGATTATCTCCTTAGGTCCAAGTGAACTATCCCCCATTGAGATGAGGATCAATGAGTTATAGATCATTAATAAACTCTGAAAATTCAAGCATGGCTCGTGTTAATCTGTTACAATTCCTTCTCTCCCATATATACCTTGTGGTGTTGAAGTCTCCACAAACTACCACGGTCCTGCACAAATCCCTCTAGAAGCTGCAATCTCCCACCAAAAATGTTGTCTTACCACTAGATCATTTGGGGCATAGGCACATATAAGGTGCCAGGAGAAGTTTTGCACGACTGATGTAAATTTACATGTGACTGTGTAGCTCCCTGAATTAATCACTTTCCCTCTACAGACTCTGCTGTCCCACATCATTATAATTCCCCCGCTTCTACCACATGATTCTAAACAGCCATATTGTACCTCATCTATTTGCCCATAATTGTTTAACAATACTTTCCGGTCCCCTTTCCAGCTTTAATTCCTTATATCTGCTTTCCATTCCTGCACCATAGACTTCACTATCATTCTTTTTTTTTTTGATAAGGACTTCACTATCATTCTTTTAGCCATGTCATTCTATCCCCTAACATTCCATGAAATCAGGTTTAGCTTCATGTTGAAACGTTGCTAACAGCCTTCCCCCTAGTCCCGGTCCCAACTGCCCCGGATTACCATAGCAAATCAAGTTTTTAACCTCCTGTATCCCTTTTGGTCTCGGAGTCCTACAAATTAGTGTCTTAATTCTCTTTATTTGTCGACTCCTGTCCATCTTTAGAAACAAAGCTAGAGCTTCCTTCTCACAGCCGTGAAAATCTACCCCATAAGTTTTGCTCATCTTCATCACATCTTTATGAACCCATAATGACGTATCCATTTCATTCATCTCCATTTGATTTTCCAGAGAGATTGCTTCATCAACAGACGAAGTAATCTGCTGCTCAGAATCGCCCTCCTGAAAGAGAGGGATAATTTCGTTTCCATTCACCATTATCATTGCATCGTCCTCTTCATCATGCAAGCTTTGCACTTCCCCAAGCCATGATTTATTGAATTCAACAATCTGATAGAAAAA